TATGGACTCAGCAGTTTGTGTGTGTATGGACTCAGCAGTTTGTGTGTGTATGGACTCAGCAGTCTGTGTGTGTGTGTGTGTGTCTGTGTGTGTGTGTGTCTGTGTGTGTGTACGGACTCAGCAGAGTCTGTGTGTGTGTACGGACTCAGCAGAGTCTGTGTGAGTATGGACTCAGCAGTCTGTGTGTGTGTCTGTATGGACTCAGCAATCTCTGTGTGTGTATGGACTCAGCAGTCTGTGTGTTTGTGTATGGACTCAGCAGAGTGTGTGTGTGTGTGTGTGTGTGTGGACTCAGCAGTCTTTGTGTGTGTATGGACTCAGCAGAGTCTGTGTGTGTGTATGGACTCAGCAGAGTCTGTGGGTGTGTATGGACTCAGCAGAGTCTGTGGGTGTGTATGGACTCAGCAGAGTCTGTGGGTGTGTATGGACTCAGCAGAGTCTGTGGGTGTGTATGGACTCAGTCTGTGTGTGTTTGTGTGTATGGACTCAGCAGAGTGTGTGTGTGTGTGTGTGTTTATGGACTCAGCAGTCTGTGTGTGTACGGACTCAGCAGAGTCTCTGTGTGTGTATGGACTCAGCAATCTGTGTGTGTGTGTGTATGGACTCAGCAATCTGTGTGTGTGCGTATGGACTCAGCAGTCTGTGTGTGTGTATGGACTCAGCAGTCTGTGTGTGTGTGTGTGTGTGTGTGTATGGACTCAGCAGTCTGTGTGTGTTTGTGCATGGACCTTCAGCAGAGTGTGGTTTGTGTATAGTGTGTGTGTGTGTGGACTCAGCAGTCTTTGTGTGTGTATGGACTCATCAGTCTGCGTGTGTGTGTGTGTATGGACTCAGCAGTCTGTGTGTGTTTGTGTATGGACTCAGCAGAGTGTGTGTTTGTGTATGGAATCAGCAGTCTGTGTGTGTGTGTGTATGGACTCAGCAGAGTCTGTGTGTGTGTGTATGGACTCAGCAGAGTGTGTGTGTATGGACTCAGCAGTCTGTGTGTGTGTATGGACTCAGCAGTCTGTGTGTGTGTGTGTGTGTGTGTGGACTCAGCAATCTGTGTGAGTGTGTATGGACTCAGCAGTCTGTGTGTGTGTGTGTGTGTGTGTGTGTGTGTGTGTATGGACTCAGCAATCTGTGTGTGTATGGACTCAGCAGTCTGTGTGTGTGTATGGACTCCACAGTCTATCAATAATTAAAATTCCTGTGAGTTGTTGTGTAGGAAGGGCCCCAGTGCATTGCTTTGCCCCTGGGCCCTTAACTCTGTTAAAATGGTACTGCTTGTGTGTGTCAGTGAGCTTCTATTTAGTGAGCATCTGTGTGTCAGTTAGCTTGTCTTTAGTGAGCTTGTGTGTGTGTGTCCCTGAACTTCTTTGTAGTGAGCCTTCTGTTTATACAAGTGAGTGTCTGTAGTAAGCTTGTGTGTGAGTCAGAGAGTTTTGTCTGTCAGTAAGCCTATTTGCGCATGTCAGTGAGCTTGTGTGCTCACTGTACTATATATATATTTATTTTGACTTGTAGGAATGGCATACGTTTTTTTTTCCAGGGGTGCTTTGGATTCCCAGTTTGGCTCTGCCAGCGAGTGCACTTTACCGCTGAATAATCTGTATGAGCTGCCGCACGTCTGGGAGCTGCTGTTGACAGGTACTACTAGTCTAGAGATTGGGGTATATGCTCAGCCATCTGTATAATACAGATCTGTGTGTATAAAATATCCCGGGATAGTCAGTGCTTCCTGTATAGTGCTGCTCTCTGTCTTGGGATATTATACACAAACAGACCTGTATTATACAGAGAGCAGCACTATACAGGGAGCACTGAGTGTCCCAATTTATTATACACACAACCCTGTATTATACAGAGAGCACTGACTGTCCAGGGATATTATACCCAGACAGTAATTGATAGCTGTGCTGCAAAATTTCCTTGGAATTTTTTTTTCAAATGTTGGCAACTATGGCACTGTATCAAGGGTAATGTGTTTGTTTTTTTAATAATCCCTGGTGGAAAATAATGAATCCTCCACCAGGTATTATTAAAAAAACAAAACACATTGTGTCGGGGGCGTGGCTTAACATGCGACAGGGGCGGGGTCAAACTGCGACGAGGGCGGGGTTAAATGTGCCCCCCTACTTTTGTCACTGGCCCTCCGTGTGCCCCCCCGAAAAATGAATCCTAGAGACGCCACTGATGTGGATTGTGTTTGTCCACACATCAACCTGTGAGGCATCAAAGCTGTTGTCACATTTGTTTGCATTCTTTTTCACAAACCACCAACCACTGGAGACATTTCAATTATTGCTCCCCATGAACCTGCTACTAGTACTCCTGAGAAGCCTTTACACCCTGGCCAACTTCTTCACTCCAAGCTGAGATACTGGTTCCTGCAGTCTTCTCAGGATCTACAGTGATATGTATTGTGAAGACATGCCTTGTACCAGTGACATTATTATTATTATTATTATTATTATTATTATTATATAGCACCAACAAATTACGCAGCTCTTTACAGTGGGTGGACTAACAAACATGTAATTGTAACCAGACAAGTTGGACACACAGGAACAGAGGGGTGTGGTGACACAAAAGTTAAGGACAGTATTAGAGAAGACAAAAGGAAGGGCAAAATCTCACAGACAGTGAGAAGAATGCCCCCTGGATATAATGAATGATAAGTGGCTATGGTAAGTGAAAAACAAATGTAACAAGACAAAAAAGGGTGGGGGACAAAATAATACTAATAAATTACAATAACAGGACCCTGACTAAGGTGCACATACCTTTGCACCGAAACACGCATCGGGTTGTTGTGACATTTTAAATGGGCACATTATTTCATGTTTGTGTTTAGCACATGTATTTACA